CCCAAATTGAAAAACCCATTCGTGGTGGAATTTCATCCTGGTATTTTTGCTGTTTTTAAAAAGCAAGCTTTTCGCACAGTGCACCTACAGCGACAACCGGAATCCTATAATGCTAATTTATGAAAATGAATCCTCCATACAGCTAATGATGAAGTCATAAAACATATTAAAAAGATTTAAACAAAACAGCGCCTGCGATATCCGCTTTCTCCCTACGAAACACTTCCCTGCTCTTGTTGAAAGATAAAAATTTTTAAGGGATGCTGTTCCTTCTTTCGCCACGAGGTGGCGCTGTTGTATGTAAACTCACCTGCCATAGGCAAACTGCTCTGGGATTCTCGAAACGAATAAAGCTATTCCGTTACATTGTGGCTTTTGAAATTTCTTGTTCTACTGGCAGAAATCATGCGGATGTGATGATGTATATTGTATTTCTTGCTGTTTTTAAAAATCAATCTTTTTGCACTCAGAGGAGGAAAACTCCTCACCCTGCGGTTGGAAAAAGGGGTGCTGTGGGGGGGGGGTCTGTTTTTTTTTTTGAAAAACCCAGGAGGGGACTCCATTCTGGGTGGAAGTTCATCCTGGTATTTCTTGCTGTTCTTAAAAATCAAGCTTTTTCCACCCAGGGGAGCGGAGGAAAAGTCCTCCCCCTGCGGTCAGAAAAATGGGTGCTTTGGAGGCAAAACATTTTTGGAGGTCAAAAAATGATTGCCTACGTAGGGTGGAACCCTAAACCTTCCGAATAAAAAGTGAGCATTTTCCCCACTAGACCACCCTGCCGCTATTTAGAAATGGTAGTGATGAAGGCCCCTTAAAGCAACCACCTAAATCCTACGATGCTAATTTATGTAAATGAATCCCTGTGTGGTAATAAAAAATATGAGCGAAAAAGAGAGTGCCAAAGAGGGTTTCCAAAAGGCAACGTACCGTTAGAAAGATTTCAACGCAAAACATTTTTTTGAGCCCAAATTGAAAAACCCAGGAGGGGACTTGATCCGGGGTGGAATTTCATGCTTAACAGTGGAATTTCTTGAGGTTATTAAAAATCAAGCTTTTTGCACCCACAGGAGGAAAATTCCTGACCCTGCGGTCAGAAAAATGGGGGCTTTGGGGCCAAAACATCTTTTGAGTCCAAATTGAAAAATCCATAAGGGGACACGATTCCCTGTGTAGTATGGAACCCTCAACTTACTGAGTAAGAAGTGAGCGTCTTCTCCACTAGACTATCCTGCCACTCCTTAAGAACTGTTTCGAACATGGCACCAAAAGCAACAACCGGAATCCTATTGTACGAAGTTATCACCCAGACCTCTCCCAGAAAAATGAAATATCCTAGGAAATATCGAAAAGGCAGAATATTTCTCTGGATGTGAAAAGAAAGAAACATGTTTTAAAAGACAGAATAGCTGCCTGTAACTTCCTGCCCATCCCCATTTTGTCAATGGGCCATTAAGAAGGCC